CGGTGTCATGTATGCATGAATGTAGAAGAAGCGAGAGAGATATGTCAAGAGAACCCCAAATATCTGTAATCTTTGCATACCCCTGTGGGTAAAAGGCGTGAGTTATGTTGGTGAAGAAAGTCCTGGGCTGAAAAAAGGTATATGTATCATAAGAAGTGGTTTTAAAATTAAAAGATGTAATGACCGCGAAGAATCGCCGCGTTGTGAAGTCCGGTTCGTGCCAAGTCCGGAGCACTTTTGTACTCTCCACTCAATAACATTATGTAACGTTTGGCAATATGTCTGTATGAATGGTAGATACCACTAGCGTATAGCATATTTTATTGTGCTTTTCAACAATTGAAAGGGGAAGAAATCCTGATAGAGCGCCTACTACGAAAATTTCCGAGGAAATATAATATATATATAATAACATTATAGATATTTATATTAGATTTAGACAATACGTAAAGTACAACCAAATAATTATATAAATGTCATATTTCATCGATGACGTTACGAAAATGCATATCGCAAATGTTCATGATACACTCTCTAGATTAGAATATGAATTATCAGAAATTTTTGTAAACCGCAATAAAAATGCGTTAATTTAATTTTAATCATTCACATTTAATTTTTTTTTATATGGGGGAACGCTGCCAGTATCTTCGGGACCTTGCCTAAAGGGACTCCTTTTATTAACATATTTTAGTTAATTATTCGGTTTTTTTTTTTAATTTATTTTATATCATAGGTTTAAGAGTGAGAAGTGTCTGTTGTTTTCTTCCGATAAGTTAATTCCAAATAAATCTTGACATTTTTTTTATTATATTGACAATTGATTTAGTTTGTATGGTACTTATATGTTTCTTGACCTCTTAACATATCTAAATAGGTTAAAATAGACACCAGAGCATCCGTGAAATAGTTGTTAATTAACAAAGTGGTCCGAAATCGTCTAGGTTCACCAGGTTTACCAGATTCACCTGGATCACCAGGTTCATAATTGATTAATAATTGAATAATATAATTAATCAATACATCAGAGGTATTCAGGAGGTGATACTGCGACAATGCTTATCACAATTTACTTATCAGTTTTGAAGAAGTGCGTCAAAACTCGCACCACATGCGTCAGAATTACAATTTGCTTTATTTTTATCAAGGCTTTAGATCCCGGATAAGTTTGCCGCATTGTGATAATTAACACGAGGTATACGAATTGCTTCAAATGTGCTCCACAAATGATAAGAGGTAAACAATTTGTTTTTACTGAGTAAATATAAGGTGTAAATAGCAAAAATGATAACTCGGTAACAATGTATTTTTTCGTGCAGTCCGATTTCAAGGGAACGGTAGCATAAAGACTAATTTCAAATCTGAAAGCATCCTTTTTCTTATGATGGGAAATTTCTGACTGCTTTAGTCTTCGATTTTAATTAATTTTAAAATACAATTTAATATCAGTATTTGTTCCGAAGGTCTTGGGAAGAACTTCCTATAGAAATGATCCTATGAAGTAAGATCTCTCCGAAGAGCGTCGGTGGCTCAGGTGTCAAGCACTTGACATGCAATCTGCAGGTCCTACGTTCGAATCCCGTCATGTACCAATGTGTTTTTCGATTTCCGAATTACATATGTACATTTATCCGACGTTCTTACGATTAAGGAAAACATCGTGATGTATATCTGCGAAGAAATTCAAAGATATGTGAAGTCAACCAACCCGCACTTGGCCAGCGTGGTTGACTATGGCCTAATCACCCTTAACTTAGGGTAGGCTCCGAGCCCCTCGTCGGGGACGTATAGATGGAGATGATTTGTTCGGAAGTGTCCTGCATTTTTGACGTTTTAAGGTTATAAAAATAGCTATAGTTTATTTGTATGAAAATGATCGAACATTATAAACGATGGCGTCCACTAATAATTAAAAGAAGAAGAAGATCAAACAATAAGCCTTGCGATAGGAAGCTGTGTACCAAGACTGTGATCAGAAATAGATACGTTCAAACAGTACACAGACTAAACAGTACAAAGTCAATCTGTCCGTCTGTTTTGATATTTATCGTTTCAAATTGAATTTACATCGTCAAAAATGATTTTGAAGTTTTTTACACCATTTTTTTCCTGACTCATACGATTTAGAATCAGCGTGGGTAATGTACGAAGATTAAAATTACCCTGATATGTTTCTTAAGTCTTAACATTCGATCTAATTAAGTAAAAATAGACACCAGAATTAATCTTACTTACTTACTTACTCCGCTGGCGCATCGACCCAAAGTGGGTCTTGGCCTCCGACACAAGAGATCCTCTTTTGTCGGTTTAATCTATACAAATATATTAAAGAGAAAAGATTTCATTTTGTCAAGTGAATTAAGACAATGGGGAGGACAACGGAATGTGATGGAGAAGGGCAGAACAAGAGGAATTATTCTTTTTCTGTGTGTCTCCTCTGTCCATAAAAGGTAGGCAACGCATCTCCAATTGCGGATATCTAGTGATCGCTTCTCCATTTCGGCGAATTCAGGTGGCCGCTTGCTTGTTTTCCACATTATATTATAAATAAAAAAATGGTGGTGTAGTTTCTCAGCCTTTATTGACAGCATTAGTAGCGATACGATCTTGTACTAAAAAAAACTTACCATACCATTTTGGTAATTCGCTCGCTAACAACCTAAATAACCTAATTATGTACTTACTTAAAAAAAATAAGTGGGCAAACGACAGGCAAGAATACCGCCATTATATGGACGCCCATGGACATCCGCAAAACTAGAACTGCAGTGTGGCCGGGCCGGCCTTTGAGAAAAAGGTACGCTCGCTTCTTGGTGGATCCTAAGTCGTGCTGGTTTGGCAGAATATTCCGCAAAAATTACACAGTTGAGGAACGTTTTACCACCTGGACGGCGAGCCATCCAAAAACAAAAAAAAGACTTATTATTACTAAGTGGAAGTAATCATGTTTTGCATTTTGATCCGATGAAAGAATAGGTAATAGTATTTCCCTTATTTTGTTATGCGCCTAGAAATAGGCAATCACTGGCAAGGTTACCTTAATTATCTCGAGAAAGTTCATTTTAACGCTACAGCCTCGGCAAGTTTACTTTCTGAGTCGGAAACCAGTCAAGGATAGCCAGCGTGAGAATTTTAGTGAATCTAGTTTCATATAACCCAGTTTTGAAACCCTCCTATTGAAGATTTTCCCCAGATACAGATACAGAAAAAAGGTGAATCGATACCTGAATCGATATTCATCAGTTTTTTGTATCGATTAAATTGTTGCGTAACGTCCCTAAATAAAACGTACAACACTAAATCCGTCGGTCGCGCCACGTGCGATACGTTGGCAGACAATGAAGTAATCACGCGCATTGTTAAACGTTATTTTTAGTTTGATATCAACGTTTAGATCCTAACGCGGACCAAAGAAATGACATATACAAAGTCAAAGGCAAACGAGCGAACGGCCACTTGAATTCGCTGAAATAGCGAACGGACTGCTCCTCTTATACATACGTAATTACAGTAGCGTTGCTTGTCTATAACGGATGGAGGAGGAGGCGTACAGAAAGATGATTTTTCCCTTCCATACCTCCAAACTCCCAGCAGATCCACTTCCCATCCTTTCCTTATAAGAAAAGGGTGGACAGAGAAAGGAGACTATAATTGGACCCGTCATTCATCAAACCCTTATATCAAAATCGTTTATATGAATGAAGAAATCACATTAAGAAAGACATATACATAGAGAAAATTCTAATATTCGATTTTTACATCTTGAATTGGAAACTACACGAACATCGGCATTCATTCTTTTACCTTCTTTCCTTATTTTGCTTCATTCTAACTTACTTGTTCTAAAAACAAGAAATAGGTGTGAACATTATCATTAAAAAGCCTACCAATGCGTTACAGGGCCTTAAAAAATAATTAAGATAAGGTTTGACGCACGACGTCTATCTCGTAGCGAACCAGTTCGAATTGAAATGCTTGGATAATATGTTAATACTTTAGTGTAGTGGGCGTAAGTCAAACTAAATTAAGACAGCTAGTAAGTTGCTAGGGATTACAGATGTCTAAGGGCATTTGCTTCGCTGTTTTTGCGAATTTAAGTGGCCACTCGTTCGTTTACCACCTTTGACATAAAAAAATAAGATTTAATTTAAATCCACGTGAGACGTTTGGAATTAAAACTATTTTGTCGTATTTGTAGTTAAAAGAATCTAATCTATCGTGGTTTCTATTTATTTTGGGTCTTGCGTCTAGCTATTTCGTAGTTACAAAAGATACGAAAGAATAAAAGAATTTATAAAAAAGAATTCTATATAAACTTCGAATGGAATTTTATAACAACAGATTTTGTAATAATAATGAGGTAAAAAAATCTAAGGCGTAGGTTCCATTGCAGTCACGCTTCGGCTACCAAGCAAGAATCTTGTTTCCTTATTTAGTAACGTCGAACTAGTATCTAGTAGATAGGTAGGTAGGTCTTTTAAAAAAGATATAAAATCGCACGTTATTTGCGGTGCTATTTTTTTCTTCAACTTTCGTAAAGTATACTTTATGTAATAAGTTAAATAAAGGAATAAGAACATTAAAATATAAGTACATACATACATACATATATTTTGCACCCTACTAACATTTTAAAAGAAAAACCCGTCAAGCATGACCGGTTTTCTATTCGCATGCGCAATGCACTTTACGGTTATCGTACTAAGTGGAGAAAACGGCTTCAGCGCTTCATCGTTCATGACACAACTATTCTTTTAAAATCGATCGGGTAATACAAGCGCAGGGGTTGTCATTCACTGACGTCGCTCCCGCGAACATACTACGCATGCGCGTCTGGCCGTCGTCTATCCCGCACAAATATAGAGGAAAATTCGTTCAAAAGTGTCTACCTACTCCACGGTAGTCTTTTCAACTTGGTCGTATAACTTTAACGCCAGAATCTACATTCGAGCGGTTATCTCATTTTGTCGCATCGCGATATAGATAACGAAAGCGCTAGTAAAATATTTTATTAATTATGCGATAACTAAATTGCCCTTGTTTTACTATAAATGAAAAGTAAATTGCGGCAACGGCACGCCGTAATGTTCGGCCAATTGTCGTCGGGTGTGTGGTGACGGATGGACGGATTTCGTGTGGAGCGTGCGTTGAGCGGTGGTTTCGTTCATTTCGTTCAACCAGTCAGAAAAGCGGACTCAAACCGCGCGGTCGCGCGGCGCGTCGGTGCTCGTAGTTTTTTAGTTTGACAGTTGGCGCGTTTTTTCGTTTGGGTTTAGCTAGATTTATTTTGTGAAAAGCATAGATTTTAAGTAAGTGCAATCTGTGTATTTTCTGTTAACTTCTAGTGTGCGACTAGTCATTTGTGCATTAACCACATTGGCTGTGATTTTAGTGATTGTACGCCCTGTGAACTTTCTTCGATTAGGATTGTGATTTTTCTTTTGGAGACCATCTCAGAGTACGTGTCATCAACTGCAGGGGACTAAAAAAGGTACGAAAGATTGTTTTATTACAGTACACTCGCTAAATAGGTTCTTTTCATGCTTGGATAAGTCGGACATTGAACATTGCTATTTGGGGCAGACAATTTCTCTTGCGGGTCCGATTAAAACCTGTTCCAAATATAGCGAATCGAGCTACGGCGGATAATGTCTTTACATCCGTTGTAAACTGTATGGGTACATTCAAAGTTATATTAAGAAGTACTTGGAGTAAGTTTGGTTAAGAATCTCGTTTTCCCTTGGCCGGGGCGAGACGAAGCAGACAGCTGTGCACACGTAACGGGTAAAAATAAATACTCGGGCATTATCGGCCGCTAGACAAACCGGCTTTGCTGTGGACAACGCGGTATTATTAGTGCATATTATACAATAATTTGCGGTAGTTTACATTTACAGGTTATGTGCGATTCTAAAATCGATTATTTAATAATGCAAAAGCAAAATAACCCTTTTCTTAATTCTTACAAATGATTTACATTCCAAAAGCAACTAAATAATCATATTTTTTTAGCAAATACTACCACACAGAGAAGGTTATTGTAGGAATCAGTCTGTCTTTAGTTCTTCTTAGTAACAAATACTTCTTTAAAAAAAAAACAAGTATATAAATATTGAAATATGTTTAAAATGACATAATGTATGCAAAATAAAATAACATATACAAATTATTCCATATATTTTAAATAAGACTATGTGTTATATGAAACCGTAACGGGAAAAAAGATTTTAATAAAAGTTATATAAATCAACTAGCTGTCGCCCGCGGCTCCATTCGGGCGGAATTGAAAAAAACTCAATGAGTAGCCTCTGTATTCTTCCAGACTATGTTCTACACCTGTGCTAAATTTCAGCGAGATCCATGCAATCAATCTCGAGATACCTTTCAACAAATATCCATCCATCCAAACATTCCAATTTATAATATTAGTAAGATTGAAAGATGTCTATAGAATGGGTTACATCTCTTATGGGACCTATTTTACGGACATAACTCTTTTCTTTAGCTATTTGAGATCATAAGGCATTAAATCCATATAGAGAATTTGGCAGAAGGGATTGTTCTACTTTATATAGCAATAAGGACATCCATAGGCCATTTATGAATAAAATAGAAAAGATTTATAGCATCAAATGAACACTTAATTGCTATGGTGGTTCCAGCATCCATATTTTGGCAACTTGCCCGCCAATATTTTATAAATACTGTTATTTATTACATTTGATTTTTTACAGTTTATGTTTAGTCTTTACTAATGATATAGATAGGAAACACTTCCATTACAATCTAATTGTGAATGAATTACTGCATTTTAGACTGTTATAGCTTACTGTGGACTTCTGACACTAAAATCTCTGTATAAAACATATTGTCATCCCTGTAATTATTGGAGATTATGGACTCGGAAACCCATGGTTAGTCAATAATCTAAATTCAACTGTTGTTTTTCTATTGCACACTGTTAAGATAGAATTTATAGATACATAGTGAATCAAGATTTTAATTAACAGTGTTTTAGATTTTATTGTAAGAAATAATATTATTTCCATCTACCCACCAGAATTTACATTTTTGTAAAAGAAAAACAGTAGCATTCACACAATCTTATTAATATAAAGCGAATGTTTAGATGAATGGATGATTGGATGGTAGTTTGTTTGAAGGTATCTCTGGAGTGGCTGCATGAATCTCGCTGAAATTTGGCATGGATGTAGAACATAGTCCGGAAAAAAACTTAAACTAAAAATCCAAAGACTGCATATTGACTATCCCTGATGTAATAAACTGCTGTTTCAACAGTGTTTAATGTTGGGTTTAGGTTGGTCAAATTCTTCAATGAAATTTGTACAATGAAAACTATAAAAATGAGATTATAGCTTGTTCATATGTTTCATTCTATTAAATTATTCAGATTGATAAAATAATATCTATTATGCATCCTTATGTATAAGTAATATTATAAATGTGAATGTTTAGATGGATGGATGTTTGCTTGATATTATCTCCGGAATGCCGCAATGGATTTTTATGATATTCAGCATACATGTAGAACATAGTCTGGAAAAACACATAGGCTACTTATTTTGTTTTTTTTTTTCAATTCACCACAGATGGAGTCAGGAGACAGCTAATATAATTTTCATCATTATCTGTACTTTAAATAATTTAATAATTGAAAAGTAATGTCTCTGTAACAAAATGTACAAAATGGCCACGTCTGGCTCTAACCAAATGCTCAACAGAGTAAAAACATCTCATATAATTTGGTATGTATGGAGAAATTAAATGCAGTTGGGTTCCCTATAATATGTATAATGTATGTATAATTTGTCATGCCTACTTTTGTTGTAAAAACATTTGCTGTGTACATTCAACGATTTTTCAATACATTTTGCAATAAACTACCAACGATTTGGCAACGCTGCACCGTTCGAAAGTCGGCACTGAAGTATATTTGGAGGGTGGGGGGGTTATATCTGAAATATGGCGACTAGACGGCCATTCCCCGACGTGACGCCGCTCCAGAAGCTATTAATTACGCGCCAGAGAGACTCGACAGCTCGATGAAGTCATATCGATTTGATTTCCAGTCAAATAAGAATAAGTGACGTCATTTTTTCATATCAAACGTCAAGATGAGCTGGACTTTGACAGAATACAAAATAATAGCCAAGTAATCTAGCTTTTAATAATATAATAGCTCTATTTTTTCAACCATTGTTGTCTGTTTTGAATCTACCCTCCGAAATTACTACTACCCTATAAGAGTTACCCGAACTTGACGAAATTTCCTTGTGACCGACAATCACAAAATTACACTTACATTTTTTTCTATAATTACAGTTTAATAATTTTCCGACCCCTAATGTTAACATTACTCCCAGCGACTTTTCTGACCAGGTCATAAGTTGACTAATTCACAGGCAGACTACAAAAATATCTTGTGGCATGGAAAGTGTTAACAATCATGTCATCTGTACATTGAATGCGATGCGACTCTTTGGGGGGGTTAGGTGTATTTAAAGCTATTGGGAATCGTCACCGGCGCGCGCGTCACACGAACACGAATAGAAAACTGCTGACCCTCGCGGTGACGTAGTTCATGACGGCCGGGCTAGCGTTCTCAGTGTTAAAATATGCCAATCATAATTTAATAACGTGACTTTATAATCGAAAATCTTACTTTTTATTAATATTATAAATGCGAATGTTTAGATGGATGAATGGATGGATGTTTGTTTGAAAGTATCTCTGGAACGGCATCTGGAAATTTGGCATGGATATAATGCATAGTCTGAAAGAATACATAGGCTACTTATTAAGTTTTTTTTTCTAATTCCGGGTGGACAGAGTCGCGGGCGACAGTTAGTCTAATAATAAAGAAAACGATTCGCGCTTGTTTAGTCTACAATACACTTTTCAGAATAAGTATGTCATAGGAATACACTGGCCCTGAACTGTTCCTTTTCGAATCATTACGTTTCGATGCAAGTTTGTCGCGGGTTTACACTACTGAAAACATTTACAAATGTTATAATCTCGGAATTGTGATATTTTTCGATGTTTGGTTAGTGTACATGATTTGTTATTGTTTTATAACTTTTATAAACTTTTAAAATGATCTCTAGCTAAGAGCGTTGCCTTCTAAGTGGAACACGGTGCTGGCCATTGGCCAAGACAACCTGGCGCAGCCTATCCATTGATAAGATAGTCTTTCAGCTTTCATACACTCGGTTAATAAAAATGATTACATTTTATAACTGTTTACTTTGCAACAAGGACCATTTCAAGGCTTCAATCCGTTATCATGGCTTATCTAATGCATACTTGCATTCATGATCATATGTTTGTTCGCATTCTGATTGAGTGATGGTTGGTGCTGCATTTAGAAGGTGACATCAGTTTTTATTTTAATCGACTTCGAAAAGGAGGTTTTGTATTCGTCTGTATGTTTTGTTATGGTACTTCGTAACTCCATTGCTGGTTTCAATATTTCTTTTTTTATTCGATAGATGTTGCGGCTCATTTGGTCATTTTGAAAAATAAAAAACAAATCTAGTAGTTTTGGAGATATCTTACTTATAAATGTGAGTGTTCAGATGGATGGATGGATATTTGTTTGAACATATCTCCAGAACGGCTGAACGGATCACAATGAAATTTGGCATACGCAACATAATCTGGAAGAACATATAGTTAAGTGATTTTTTCAAATCCGCGCGGACGGAGCCGCGGGTGACCGCTAGTTATAGTATAAGATAAAAAAAGTTACGGGTATGGTAGACTATATGGCCATTAAATGCTTCTTCATGTCCTTGACATGTTTCGTTTTATAAAGCCATTTGACCCTACCGACTTAAAGCGCATATCGGATTAAGGGATACGAGGTCGAATGTACGTCAGGGTTACTTATACTATTATTATGCATGCAATGTAAGATATAGAATATCTAAAGATATTAATATGATAGATTACAGGGACATTGTTAAGTGGGTAGATTTTTGTTAAAGTATTATTTTTGATCAGAATTTAATAGTCTTTTGTTTCCTCATCAGCTCACTATACGTCCCCACTGAAGGGCTTTTAGTCTACCCTAAGGTAGGGGTGACTAGGCCATAGTCTTTTGTTTATCTCACGCTAATTTCGTTCTTCGAACATATTTACACAATATGTTTAATCACTATTTTACTTATGTTGTTAGTTATGAATCAATTATATATGTTTGTTGAAATATGAACACGAATTTAAGCAATTCTACGAACATTAATCATCAATATTTATACTAATAAACAACTATTATATCGAGTTATTTTATTATGTATATAATTTAGATTACGCCATTTAGTATATGGACATATATATATAGGTAATTGATATGTTCACCAAATATTCTTTTACCGTGTGTTTACACAGCAGAAACATATGTACATAAACATGTTTTCGGTGCATGTGTGTAGTGTAAACCCACGGCATTTTACACGTTTCTCACAT